CGCATAAAAAGCAGGTGGAGAGTTATAGGGATATACTGTAATGCTCTGTACACTAGATATCTGCAATTACTATTGCATGTGATATGAAGGATGCCTTGGGTAAAGCTTGGTCTTCATTATAGTGGCTTTATATTATTATTATAATCAAGGGGGAAGCGCTAAACCCGGAGGATTATACAGCGCCTGGGGGGGGATGTGGAAGGCATTCAGGCTTAATTCGGGGAACTGGAGCACAGATCCAATTCCCTAAATCAAGAGCCCCTCACCAACATCAAGGAACCTTCCTTGAGGGGAGTGGCTTTATAGTAATTAATGTATTGAATAACACATTATTTGAGTGCTGTTCTAAGTTCATAAGGTGAAGATTACTGATATTTTAGTACATGTCACTGTGTTATTCACTATTTAAATAAAATTCTTGCAAATAATAATTTTGTTATAAATTCTTGTTCACATGTACATTGTTACATGTGAAGTTCATTGGTCCTCTTATGATATATACATAATGCTGCTTTACATTCAAGGTGCAATATATTGTATTTATACTGGGATATATGAATACTATTAGTTGGTGAATATTTATTATTTATTTATTATCACACTGGCCGATTCCCACCAAGGCAGGGTGGCCTGAAAAAGAAAAACTTTCACCATCATTCACTCCATCACTGTCTTGCCAGAAGGGTGCTTTACACTACAGTTTTTAAACTGCAACATTAACACCCCTCCTTCAGAGTGCAGGCACTGTACTTCCCATCTCCAGGACTCAAGTCCAGCCTGCCGGTTTCCCTGAACCCCTTCATAAATGTTACTTTGCTCACACTCCAACAGCACGTCAAGTATTAAAAACCATTTGTCTCCATTCACTCCTACCATACACGCTCACGCATGCCTGGTGGAAGTCCAAGCCCCTCGCACACAAAACCTCCTTTCCTAGGTCGACCCCTACCCCGCCTTCCTTCCACTACAGACTGATACACTCTTGAAGTCATTCTGTTTCGCTCCATTCTCTCTACATGTCCGAACCACCTCAACAACCCTTCCTCAGCCCTCTGGACAACAGTTTTGGTAATCCCGCACCTCCTCCTAACTTCCAAACTACGAATTCTCTGCATTATGTTCACACCACACATTGCTCTCAGACATGACATCTCCACTGCCTCCAGCCTTCTCCTCGCTGCAACATTCATCACCCATGCTTCACACCCATATAAGAGCGTTGGTAAAACTATACTCTCATACATTCCCCTCTTTGCCTCCAAGGACAAAGTTCTTTGTCTCCACAGACTCCTAAGTGCACCACTCACCCTTTTCCCCTCATCAATTCTGATTCACCTCATCTTTCATAGACCCATCCGCTGACACGTCCACTCCCAAATATCTGAATACATTCACCTCCTCCATACTATCTCCCTCTAATCTGATATCCAATCTTTCATCACCTAATATTTTTGTTATCCTCATAACCTTACTCTTTCCTGTATTCACTTTCAATTTTCTTCTTTTGCACACCCTACCAAATTCATCCACCAATCTCTGCAACTTCTCTTCAGAATCTCCCAAGAGCACAGTGTCATCAGCAAAGAGCAACTGTGACAGCTCCCACTTTGTGTGATTCTTTATCTTTTAACTCAACGCCTCTTGCCAAGACCCTCGCATTTACTTCTCTTACAACCCCATCTATAAATATATTAAACAACCACGGTGACATCACACATCCTTGTCTAAGGCCTACTTTTACTGGGAAATAATTTACCTCTTTCCTACATACTCTAACTTGAGCCTCACTATCCTCGTAAAAACTCTTCACTGCTTTCAGTAACCTATCTCCTACACCATACACCTGCAACATCTGCCACATTGCCCCCCCTATCCACCCTGTCATACGCCTTTTCCAAATCCATAAATGCCACAAAGACCTCTTTAGCCTTATCTAAATACTGTTCACTTAAATGTTTCACTGTAAACACCTGGTCCACACACCCCCTACCTTTCCTAAAGCCTCCTTGTTCATCTGCTATCCTATTCTCCGTCTTACTCTTAATTCTTTCAATAATAACTCTACCATACACTTTGCCAGGTATACTCAACAGACTTATCCCCCTATAATTTTTGCACTCTTTTATCCCCTTTGCCTTTATACAAAGGAACTATGCATGCTCTCTGCCAATCCCTAGGTACCTTACCCTCTTCCATACATTTATTAAATAATTGCACCAACCACTCCAAAACTATATCCCCACCTGCTTTTAACATTTCTATCTTTATCCCATCAATCCCGGCTGCCTTACCCCCTTTCATTTTACCTACTGCCTCACGAACTTCCCCCACACTCGCAACTGGCTCTTCCTCACTCCTACAAGATGTTATTCCTCCTTGCCCTATACACGAAATCACAGCTTCCCTATCTTCATCAACATTTAACAATTGGTGAATAATGGACATAAAATGTTAAGGATATTACAAAAATTGGCTTGAATAATTTTTCTACTTCATTAGATATAAATAGCATTGTTGCAGTGGTAGTTGGTCTGGGAATACCAACACGTAGGTAATAGACATACAAGCAGCACTTGGAAACTGTTTCACCTGCCCAGCAGAGGCTTTATTAAGTCGTGACTGATCTTACCTGGTGATAGCACCATAGAGGCAAAATAGAATATAGTCAGGTGTTCAGGACTGCAGTAGGCCTATACTAATTAAATCTTAACATGCTGAGTACATAGTGCAAGTAGCAATGGTGGTAACATTATAGTAGTATTGTAGAAGGCCTGCTGGCCCATGCTAGGCAAATCTTAAGGCATGTTGTCATGTTGAGTTGTAGTGGTTGGTAGTTCCTGGTGGTGTACCTGGTTCATTATATACATTAGCTGTACATGAATGGTATATAATACAAGATGAAGAATTAGATACATGTGCAGCATCTGGATATATTTATTTGTAGATGTTTTGTCTTCCAGTGGTACAGCATTATCAATACAAGTACATAATGTGAAGAAAGATGATTATTATTATTATTTATTTTTTTTTATTATCACACTGGCCGATTCCCACCGAGGCAGGGTGGCCCGAAAAAGAAAAACTTTCACCATCATTCACTCCATCACTGTCTTGCCAGAAGGGTGCTTTACACTACAGTTTTTAAACTGCAACATTAACACCCCTCCTTCAGAGTGCAGGCACTGTACTTCCCATCTCCAGGACTCAAGTCCGGCCTGCCGGTTTCCCTGAACCCCTTCATAAATGTTACTTTGCTCACACTCCAACAGCACGTCAAGTATTAAAAACCATTTGTCTCCATTCACTCCTATCAAACACGCTCACGCATACCTGGTGGAAGTCCAAGCCCCTCACACACAAAACCTCCTTTACCCCCTCTCTCCAACCTTTCCTAGGCCGACCCCTACCCCACCTTCCTTCCACTACAGACTGATACACTCTTGAAGTCATTCTGTTTCGCTCCATTCTCTCTACATGTCCGAACCACCTCAACAACCCTTCCTCAGCCCTCTGGACAACAGTTTTGATAATCCCGCACCTCCTCCTAACTTCCAAACTACGAATTCTCTGCATTATATTCACACCACACATTGCCCTCAGACATGACATCTCCACTGCCTCCAGCCTTCTCCTCGCTGCAACATTCATCACCCATGCTTCACACCCATATAAGAGCGTTGGTAAAACTATACTCTCATACATTCCCCTCTTTGCCTCCAAGGACAAAGTTCTTTGTCTCCACAGACTCCTAAGTGCACCACTCACTCTTTTCCCCTCATCAATTCTATGATTCACCTCATCTTTCATAGACCCATCCGCTGACACGTCACTCCCAAATATCTGAATACATTTACCTCCTCCATACTCTCTCCCTCCAATCTGATATTCAATCTTTCATCACCTAATCTTTTTGTTATCCTCATAACCTTACTCTTTCCTGTATTCACCTTTAATTTTCTTCTTTTGCACACCCTACCAAATTCATCCACCAATCTCTGCAACTTCTCTTCAGAATCTCCCAAGAGCACAGTGTCATCAGCAAAGAGCAGCTGTGACAACTCCCACTTTGTGTGTGATTCTTTATCTTTTAACTCCACGCCTCTTGCCAAGACCCTCGCATTTACTTCTCTTACAACCCCATCTATAAGTATATTAAACAACCACGGTGACATCACACATCCCTGTCTAAGGCCTACTTTTACTGGGAAATTATTATTATTATTATTATTATTATCAAGAAGAAGCGCTACGCCACAAGGGCTATACAGCACTGCAGGGTAGGGAAGGAAGCGAGGGTATCGGGCGGCAGGAGGGGGGGAGGGATGATTAGTAGGTTACAGAAAACAGCGGGGCAAGGGATAGTGCGGGGGTAGAGGGTAGCAAGAGATTGAGGTAGAAAGGGCTGAAGGTATCATCAAAGTTTGTGGAGTAAGTCAGTTGTCAAAAAGTCAATGAGAGAGTCCTGAAGAAAGATGAGGTAACCAGTCCCTCAGGCTAGAAGACTGACTACCTCATCTTTTGTATATAGTTCTATTTTCTTCACATTTTGTCCTTTTATTGTATTGATAAAGCCACTGGATGGCAAAACATCTACAAATAAAAATACCCAGATGTTGCACATGTATCTAATTCTCCATATACAGTAGACTTGGTTTTGTGTGATTATGTTAGAGGTCATGATAGAAGTTCCAAAGCATTTTCTCTTTCTCCTATCACAGGTTTTGAATTGGAAACTCATCAGATGGTCGAGAACTTCTAGTCTGAACACAGATCCTATTGTCAGTTTGGGTTTTGTACTCATGCTCATTGATGCACATACTTGTGCTTTTAGTGGATTCTCAACATAAATCTAGTCACAACCTCTGCATGGAATTTTGTAAACACCAGCTTCTTTACCTGTGTTATGGATATTTTTCTGTCTGGCAAGGTCATGGATAGAAGAGGTTATGACAGCTACCTTGTCATCATGTATCAAAATCTTTGACAGAGGCAGTGCTACATGTAGGCAAAAACCATGCATCAGTCTGCTTTCTTTTGTTTTAGGCATTTTCAGGATTTTTTTTTTTTTTTTTTTTTTTTTTATTTCATTTTCTTTAATTCTTTATCCTTATTCCTTCATTTTTTATATCTGTTTTAATGCAACAATTCATGCTCTCTGACAAATAGAGGTATCTTGCCTTCCTTTACATTATCTTTATCAGCATGGAACAACAAAGCAATGACTGAACGTGATTGTTCGTGACTGGCGGTTGGCCGATTCTACTGGGTAAGGCATGCAAGGTCAAGTATGTCAATCTGGATTCCCTGGTCTCTAACTTCTATAGCTATAACTTCAAGGGACAGCTGTTCTGGCTGCTCTGCTTGTCAAGGGTTTGATTCCAAGAGATGGACACTGTTTTAGTCTAGTTATGAAACGATTTGACTGCTTCATCTATCTGGAATAGTAAAAAAAAAAAAAAAAAAAAAAAAAAAAAGTCATTTATGCAGTCATCTCAATAGCATAGTGTTTAAAAATTTCTGCAACTAAGCACACTGATGGCTGTAACTGAGTTGCCTATTTGCCTTATTAAACTGTAAAAGTGTGTCCTGTGTTGTGTGTGGTTTGTATCAAAGATCCTGACAGGGAGATGCTTGATGCCAATTCTGTACATGTAGTTTAAATTTAATAAGTTTTTTCATAAAACTTAAAGTGTGCTGCTTCTAGTTGCAGAACAGGTACAAGAATTTTATATCTAAGGATACCAATGTATAATAATATCAAGTTAAGCACTAAGGAGTTGTATAGCACTATCAATCTAGTGTTGAGTAAAGGGCATTAGGGCATAGTTTTTGTAAGAAATGTGCAGTGTCCTTATTTCTCTTGGGTAGTGGATCTAGGAGTGGCATTAATAGGGCAATTAGAATCTTATCTACTGGCCATGTGGATGTCTAACAACCAAATAAAACCAGTCTAGTTTTCTGGGTGTTGGTGTCCTGGTCCACATCTTTGTAGTTTCAGTTAGAAGAAATGTGGGAGATTGTTGCCGTGTGTTTTAAGAGATGTCATTATAGCTATGATGAATACTACACTTAATTTGCAGTGCTTTGCTCCTCTAATTTTACCACTACTGCAAGAATGATGTTGGATGCATGTTCTAAATTCTATATTACTACTAATCTCCCAGGCTATTTTACTTCAGAGAGTCTGCAAGTTTCACATGGGATGACTTGGGCATTTTTGAAAACCAGAACTCCTGTGAGAAAAAATCACTGCCATTACTGTACTTTATATTTTTGAGTGAACATGTATTCTTTTGGTCATTATCTGAGAGGAATCAACAAGATCAAAGGGAAAGTATTGAGTGAAAGACAGTGAGCAAGGGGTATTTTAAGGTAAGGTACATAATTCAAAGGCACCTTAGGCATGGATAACCTTTATTTTACAATTATTTTTTCACTTAGTGGGGCTTTGTCAAGTACTGTACTTTATGAAGCTCCACTGTGGGTGAACAACCCTAAAATAAAAATTCTCCCTGCTTTAATGTCGGAATTACTGTACCACTTGGTAGTTTACGCCATTATCTACCTAGCTGTTATCTTAAAACTATTTACTGAACTATCTGAGGTATGCTGGGATTGGAGGCGAGGGTTGCTGACAAGCAAGGAAGACAGGGACTTACTTGACCACACGGTGACAATACTGTACAGTATGTAGTTTATATCAGGTTACAGACCCAACTCTGCTGTATAACACTGGAGAGGGCATTCATAGTGGCTACTACCCCTCTGCATTCAGCTGTATTTCTCAGCATTTATACCATATCTTATTCTTGTATGTACAACAACATTATTATCTGAAAGTATAAAAATATTATTCCAAACATTAATATGTTCAAAAAATAAGTCATGTGAACCATCAAGAGTTTCCAACTCAAGGAAATTGTTAAAATGTCTGCTGTTTTGAAGTTATATTTAGTATTTTAGATCAAAGAACACCAGTTGATGGCTTTTTTTTTTTCCTAGCTACAGAAAAGTAAAAAACTGTGTACTTAATTTTTATAAGTTTAAACTTTTATTTCTACAAGAGAACAAAGTATTATCTTTTGCCTATCATAATGTTTACATTTACTATACAAATACGTATTTGGTAATTAGGCAGTTTTGTTATTGGCATAAATTTTTTTGTTACTAAGACAGCAAAGTAATTATAATTTAATACTGAAATAAGAATACAGTACAGTACTAAAATATAATTATTGTTAATATTGTCTTTGCCTCCTTGTTCCTCTTGGGAACATCACTGTAATGGTCTTGGTTTTCCCAGACATTTTAACCATCATCATGTGTTGAAAACTTCTGAAGCAGCATTCAAAACTGCCTGTAATTTAATTCCTATAGTCAGGAAAATGTTATACCAACTTGTTATACTCTTACACATGACATTTTGTTACATTCAACATTGAATGCTAATGTATTTTTATTAAGGTATATAAAAAAAAAATTGGCCTTAGTCATACAATATCTAATAGTTATTTAAATATTTTGAAGAATAGTAAACTGTATCAAGTTAATACTTACTGATTATACATCATGTAGACTTACATGCCTTGCATTTTAGGGCAACTAGCTTTGTAGTGTAATATTGATCTGCTATGTCTGGTCGTAATATATGGAGCCAATGCTTTGCTATCAGATGATAAATATACTTTCAATCTTTCACTAAGCTCAGCTTATTTTCCTGAATTATTATATTACCAGTATCTGTTTTTAATTTTTGGTTTTTATTCATTTTATTCATTATCTTGCAAAATTATTCACTGTTTCAGAATCACATATATTGCTACAGTACAATAAAAATTTCAGTTTCCTGAGATTTTTCTTAACCTTAGAATTATAAAAAAAAAAAAAACTACCTTTTTAATGTTATTGTGATTTAGGATGTTTGGCAGTATAATTGTTAGCTATTATGTCACTTAGATATTTATGTAATATGTAGTTTGTTGGACCAGACCTCAGTGTGCAAGATGAGTGCACTAGCAACTGAGCTATGAGACAGCTAAATAGTAATAATAGTACAAGTCTTGACCTCGGCCCATGTGGTAAAAAAAAAAAAAAAAACTGCCACTGCACCACCAATCACTAAAATGCTTTCAACCAGACCTCTGAATTTCTCACTTGTCATAAAACCTCCCAAAACTGAAGAGATCTAGTTTGGACCATTTATGTGACTGGCAATTCAGCTCTAGCATCTGTCTTACCTCTGAGGGCACCTAGTCAATTACTGTTCACTGCCTTACCCATCATACAGCACATACCAATATAAAAATAAATAATCGTGTTTTAAAGAGCCATTGGCAGTTTTTGTTTTTCTATCCTTAGTAAACATAAATGTTAAAACAATTTTAAATCAACTGCAGTAAACCCTCAACATAACTGACTGATAGGGTAAGGGGGAATGTGTCCACTGAACAAAGACTGCTGCATCAAACTTATGAACTATTTTCTATGGCAGTAACAAATGGACAAAACAGACATCTACTGCTGACAACTGCCCCATGTAGCAGACTTAAATCTGTTGCATCGAGATATTACCATACACAAAGGCTAGAGAAAATTGAGAACAGCGCTTTCAAAATACGTACCTTACCTTTTAGACGAGATTAGTTTCTAACACCAATAGTCTTCACGTACACATGACACTTGATAATACCAGACTCCACCTTCCTTTGTTAAAGTTTGTTTAACATACCGAGTCATACCTTCCTCTTGCTGCTGCTACCAGCATCACCTGCTTTAGAAGATGTTAACAACACTGTGCAGTAATATGTTAATGAAGTGGCAAAAGACTAATTCCAGGAAGGATGACTATGTAAGAGTGTACACACACAATAACAAGTAGAGCCTGCCCAGCCCACCCAAGAACAATGAAAAGAGACAGGTCCTGATGTGGCCACTCGGGGCATTACTGGACAAATCCCAGTTAGTTTAATATGTTTATTATGCACCCCATACCCATCCTGTGGGCGGTAGTCAAAAGATTACAGAGGTACATAATTGGTCCAGGGACTGGGCCCCCAAAGTTTTGATAGCTGAACTAGGTACAAAGGTAATGAGCTCAAGTTACAAAGGTAATGAATTCTGTAAGAATGGTTACTTACGTTTATACATGGCTACAATCATGAACAAATTATAGTGTAATGAGCAATTCACACTTCAACACCCGGTCACAACTGTAATGAGTTATTGGTGCAAATATTGATTGTTGACACACACACACACAACCACAAATAGGTGAGTACACACACACACACACACACACACAGTTTAGTTTAATATCTTTATTATGCACCCCATACCCATGTACAAATCCCAGTGCTGCAGATTTTGTTTACTGGATGGGTAGCCTACTATTAACAGACAAATGCCCTCCATTCAGCATCAAGCCTTCCAAATATTTTGTCCGTTTGATTTGAAATCAGTTATACAGGGGTCTATTTCATCGAAGTTTACTGTACTTCACTTGAGGGAAGTAAGGATGCTGTACAAATGAAGTTGCTAGGACCCCAATGGAAATAAGTCACTGACTTTTTTGGGTTATCCTAAGTTCTCTACACATATGCTGCTATGTATGATGATCTATGTATCTACACATATGCTGCTATGTATGATGATCTATGTATCTACACATATGCTGCTATGTATGATGATCTATGTAACCGTATTTGTGTATGCCTGAATAAACTTGCTTATTCCTAGATACTGGTGAGGGGAAGGGCTTGTAATCCACTGCCCTTAGATTGAACCTAACTGCTTCCCATTCCCAAGATGCACATATGACCCAGACAGGTTTAGCACTTCCCTGAATGTGATGATAATCCCTTACAGATTGCGTTTTTCCCTAAATACCTGTATAATAATAATATATTTTTACTTAAATGAATAATTTCTCAAACTTTAGAATCCAATCCTGAAATGTTCTGTGTAAAGCATTATGTTTGGGTATACTCAACTTTAGGCACTGCTTTTTGTCTGGCATTAAAGCACTTAAATATCCTATGATGCCCACACAAACTGGATTTGGTTTTCACTATTTACCAGCGCTATATGACCCTTACGGGTTTAACACTTGGTCGTGATTATTATAATTTCATTATTTATGGTACAGTTCCTGCAATGCCTTGGTGAGTTCTGCCCTATGAGTTTTTTCCATGTGTTTTTGACCCCACCCTCGTGGGCCATTAGCTCTCGTGCAGTTCTCCTTTTTTCTCTTTTTTTTATCTTGTTCTTTGATTACCTCACTAACACTCCACTCGACTCCCTTATTACCACCTCTGCCACTAGCGCACTATTACATTATAGTAGTAGTATAACTACTACCACCATTACCACTGAAAATTTGTCTGAACTGCCTCCAAGTGAGTCGCCTACCCTGGCAAGCTCTGTTGACACCGAGCTCTGAGTTCGGTACCTCAGCCTCACAAGTGGCTTATAGGACAGATTTTCATAAATGATTGATGTTGCAAGAAACTCGCCTACATGCACGTATAAAGGACTAACTTACTTGGTGTTGCAGCATATATCCTGATCTTCAACCTTCCTAAGCTTAGCCCCTTTGGACTTCCCCTCAGAAACCACGTGCAACCGGGAGCCTTAATTCCTGCAATATTCAATCGTTATTAGTGACCTGCCTGCACCTCAGAAATTCCTATATCCAAGGGGGTGTGTATCCCCTAGTACAACTATGCAGACACGGACACTAGCTTCTAGGTAGACAAGAGACACTGGTACGTACTGGGCATGCACTGCCAGCTGCACACAGACCTACAGATCAACTCACTCACAATTTTCCCCAGACACTGGCCAGAAATCCTACGGAAAAGGGTGGAAGCTGGCACTGGACAAGCAACTAAAGTCAGTTCCTGATCAGCCGGGCTGTGGCTCGTACGTTGGTTTGCGTGCAGCCAGCAGCAACAGCCTGGTTGATCAGGCGCTGATCCACCAGGAGGCCTGGTCACAGACCGGGCCGCGGGGGCGTTGACCCCCGAAACTCTCTCCAGGTAAACTCCAGGTAAACTCCAGGAGGTCTTGTCTTACTGTATGGGCCTGACAGAGGAGGTCATCTACGGTACATCGAGGTGCCTCTACCAGATTTCCCCAGGTCTCAAATGTGAAGACACGTGGGGGGCGCAGTCTGCTGATCACTGCACGTGTTGTCCAGTTGGTGTCTGTCTAAAGAAGAACGAGCTGATCCCTTCCAGACCCGTGCCTTGTCATTCAAACTAGGGCTGCCAGTTCTCCCTAGCTAACTTAACCTAGTGTTTGCTACATTATCGGCCTATTACCAGGGCCGAATTACCGCATAGGCAAACTAGGCATTTGCCTAGGGCCCCGTGCATTTGGGGGCCCTGCGGTCCAAGGGGTTCAGGGGCTCATCCAAGACTGCGCACATGGTGCAAGTGCAAAGGGGTCCCTACCTAAAAAGTTCAAGTGTTTGGAGAGTAAAATTAATTTTTAAAAGTTAATCAAAACAAAAATAAATAATGAAATAAAATAAAATAAAAATAAATAAACCTAACCATAGATGGCAACACTCAACACGCCTTTGTTTACATCAGAACAGCTGTTTTTTCCCCCACTAATGGGTGAGTATGGAGTTTCCTCTCCAATTTTTGTGAAAATTACATTTATCTAGACTTGTACTGTGAAAAAATTAACTGAAGTGTTGTTGATAGCTTTGATGTGTATGGATAAATGTTTTTTTTTCCCCTCAAAATTTTAAGGGGGGTTAAACATAGGGTTACTGAAAAAAAAAAAAAGAAAAAACACATGGACCGTAAAGACCTTTTTTTGGTAAAAATACTATAAAAAAAAACCTAAAATGAAAACGACTTCCTTTTGTAGGTTTAAAAGCACTTTGGCCGTCTTTAAAGTCTTTATCATTTTAAATAACAGTTCTAAATTTGATTTGTTCTACATCAATTAATTTACTACTATTTCCCCAGAAACACATAAGCCACATCAAAAAAATCTTTGGTTGGGGTGAAACTGAAAATTTCCTGCATTTTTAATTCCATGCCTTATCTTGGTGGTAGCCATATATCAGCAAAAACAAAAAGATTAGTTTTTTATAAAAGGTAATAAAAATACCTTTGTGCATTTTTTTTGGATCAGTATATTTCTGTTTAAGTAAATGGAGATCAAGGAGGATAATTAGTAAAATATTCGTTAGCCCAAATCACAAACCCTAATCTAGGTAAAAGTTCTGTATATGACTTTTTTGGGGAAAAACGTTTTGAATTTTTAGATGCGCAGCCAGAGGAAAAGGGGGGTACAAGGGGCCTTTCCCCCCCAATTGACAAAAAAAAAATTTAAAATAATAATTAAAAAATTAATAATAATTTAAATGAAAAAATTTTTATTTGCATGATTTAAAAAAGTGATACATCCTCATTTGGCATCTCGTGAACGTATGTTGGGGGTTTTATGCGAGTGGGGCACAGAAAAAAATTTAAAAAATTTAAGAAGAACAGAAAAAGAAAGTGTAGGAAGCGCAGAAAGTCACGCATGCTCACGAAAACAGTTTCTGATGTTACCGTACAGTTGAATTGGTACGTCAGATATACAGGAACACCACCACAGGAGCTGCATTTTGCCATGTATTTCGTGCACAGAAAAAGGCTTATTGGGTTCCATTTCGAAAATCAAATGAAAAAAGGGGATTTTGGGGAAAAGTTCTAGAAAGAGTTGTGCTTTTTTGTAAAATTCTTAGCTCTAAGGACTTTCTTTCCCGGGGGAAAAATGAGGTTTTTGGTTCGGAAACAATGGCAATTTCCTAGGGATCATAGAATGTTAGCACAATTCATTTCCCTTCTTTCAAATCTATGCACGCCTTGGGAATGCAGGAAGAGGCACTGATCTTACATTCATCTAATATGAATAAAAATTTTTTGAACTGAGATAAGAATGTCCCCAATAACATACAGCAGCTGTGAAAACTGCAAATACTTTTCAAAATTTTTGATTAACACCAGATATTTCACTGCGATCAATTTACATTCATTGTTTGTTTGTCGACTCCAGTGGTAACCTTTTAGAGCGCTTTATAAAATTCATTCCTTTTTCAGGCCCGTGGAAAACAATGTGAATGTAGTACTGGATACCTGTTGAAAATGATCTCTCTATTATGGATTGCCGTGGCCGAGCTACGCAATGCAAATAACATGCGGGTAAAAATTTAAAGGATTTCAAGCCCGTATCAAGCAAATCGTGGAAAAAAGCCAATTACAGTTTCCCATCAGCCCGGGGTGTGGCTTGTACGTTGGTTTGCGTGGCCCCAGCCCAAAAGCCTGGTTTTATCAGGCGTGATCCACCAGGGGGGCCCGGTCACAGACCGGGCCCGGGGGCGTGACCCCGAAAAATCCCCAGGGAAACTCGGTAACAGTAAATGAAAAAATAGATAAAATTTTTATTTATCAGTTAGACAAGTAGGAATTTGGGACACCTAGGTCGCAAAAATGTCCCCCTTCGATACCTACCACTGTCAAAATCCACAAGTTGCTCTGGACCTATTAATTAAATGAATTATACATCAGGAATTCTGGTAAATATATAATTTGTGGACTGTATATTAAA